AACGGGACTTAAAATTAAAAATCTAAATACACGGTTAGATTTGGCTTATCAAAGAACCCCAATAATTCAATTTTTGATGAAATCAAACAAAGTTTAATTTTGGACCCTTTTGACCTCAATATGAACCAATTTGATAGCGGGGCCCACACATAAAAAATCTAAATTCATGGTTAGATTCAGCATATCAAAGAACCCCATATATTCAATTTTTGTTGAAATCAAAAAAAGTTTAATTTTGGACCCCAACTTGGACCAACTTGAAAACTGGGCCCATAATCAAAAATCTAAACACATGTTTAGATTCAGCATATCAAAGAACCGCAAGAATTCAATTTTTGTTAAAATCAAACTAAGTTTAATTTTGGACCCTTTGGACCTCAATGAAGACCAATTTAAAAAACAGGACCCAAATTAAAAATCTAAAAACACGGTTAGATTTGGCATATCAAAGAACCCCAATAATTCAATTTTTGATGAAATCAAACAAAGTTTAATTTTGGACCCTTTTGACCTCAATATGAACCAATTTGATAGCGGGGCCCACAAATAAAAAATCTAAATACATGGTTAGATTCAGCATATCAAAGAACCTCATATATTCAATTTTTGTTGAAATCAAACAAAGTTTAATTTTGGACCCCAATTTGGACCAACTTGAAAACTGGGCCCATAATCAAAAATCTAAATACATGTTTAGATTCAGCATATCAAAGAACCCCATATATTCAATTTTTGCTAAAATCAAACAAAGTTTAAATACTGGACCCTATCTTGGACCAACTTGAAAACTGGGCCCATAATCAAAAATCTAAACACATGTTTAGATTCAGCATATCAAAGAACCCCAAGAATTCACTTTTTGTTAAAATCAAACTTAGTTTAATTTTGGACCCTTTGGACCTTAATGTAGACCAATTTAAAAAACAGGACCCAAAATTAAAAATCTAAATACACGGTTAGATTTGGAATATCAAAGAACCCCAATAATTCAATTTTAGATGAAATCAAACAAAGTTTAATTTGGGACCCTTTTGACCTTAATATGAACCAATTTGATAACGGGGTCCACAAATAAAAAATCTAAATACATGGTTAGATTCAGCATATCAAAGAACCCCATATATTCAATTTTTGTTGAAATCAAACAAAGTTTAATTTTGGACCCCAATTTGGACCAACTTGAAAACTGGGCCAAAAATCAAAAATCTAAATACATGTTTAGATTCAGCATATCAAAGAACCTCATATATTCAATTTTTGCTAAAATCAAACAAAGTTTAATTTTGGACCCTTTGGACCTTAATGTAGACCAATTTGAAAACTGGACCCAAAATTAAAAATCTAAATACACTGTTAGATTCGGCATAACAAATAAATAAATGTGATCAAAGATTTTACAAATCTAATGCGCCATACTGTGCAATTAAAGATTACTTCTTGAAATTTTTCAATATTTGAAATTTGAAAAAAAAATAATATTTGAAGAGTAATTCTTTTTAATTTCTGAAATCTGAAATGAGAAAAAATTGACCTCCCACAATTTCTTTTTATCCCCCCCCCCCCCTTTTTTTCCCCAAAAAAATTCTTTCCCTCAAGATATGGTCATAATCTCAATTCAAATTTCCAATGGAGTTGGCAACCATAATTACCCATTTAAATTTACCATAGTGCTAACTTAATCTATTTTATAATAGAATTAAAAATATAGTGTCAAATCTTTCATATGGATTTTTTTGTAAAAAAAAAAAGATGCAACATTTGCAGATATTTTTACTGGTCTTCCTTTATAAATATGTATTTCTTTAAACATAATTTAAAAGCAGTGTAAGGGAAGTAACCAAAACGTTGTATTTGGATTACCTCCCTTACACTGTATTAAATTATCTTTATTGTTCATTAACCATTACTTTATACATAATTTAAAAGCAGTGTAAGGGAGATAATTTCAATGATGTATTTGATTTATCTCTCTTACACTGCTTTAAATTATGTTTTGTACTAAAGTATTTGTCCATTAACCAGGACAACCTTGTTTTCCCCCCTTTTTTGCCCCTAATTCCTAAACGATTTGAGCCATAACCCCCGAAAGCAAATCCTAACCATCCCTTTGTGGTATGGAAACTTGTAGTATAATTTCAGAGAGATCCATACACTGTTCCACAGTTATTGTCTGGAAACTAGAAAATGCTTATTTTTGGCCCCTTTTTGGCCCCTAATTCCTTAACTGTTGGTACCATAACCCCCAAAATCAATCCCAACCTTCCTTTTGTGGTATTTAACCTTATGGTCAAATTTCAAAATGATCCATTCACTTAAACTAAAGTTAGAGTGCAAAAACCAATGTGTCTTCGGACGACGACGACGCCAACGTCATACCAATATACGACCACAAAATTTTTTTGCGGTCGTATAAAAAATCAGTTGAAATTAAACATCCAAAAATGTATTTCAGCTCTCTTCTTTCATTTCCACCCAATAAAAACTAAGAAATGTATGAGGGAGGGAAAGAAAAAATAAAGAAAATATACACTTTAATTAAAGGGAACTATATTCATGGACAACGAAAAGCGGGATCATAAATTGTGGTCTGGGGCCACAAGAATTATGAGGATATAAAATAAACACTTTATCATAGCATATCATCACCGGAAATCTGACTTTCATCGATCAAAAATATTTTTTATGAGAATTAAAAGATCAGAAGTTGTACAGTTTAGGTTTTTAAAGATTTAATGGATATAATCCTGCCTGCAGTTGTAGATCATAGTGCTGATATTCAATGTATTCTCTAGATCATATCAGTAGTCAAACCTACATGGGAATCTTTTCATGTCTTGATCTGGACAACAGTTGTTATATTTCCTTGGACACTTAAATTCGTGGATAAAGTCATCCATGAAAACCACAAAAATTGGTTCCCCAAGAATAAAAGTACTTTCACAGTATTCACCAATTCCATCAATTACGTAAAGTTTCCAGAAAATCAATCCAAGCAAACTAAAGTTATGGAAAAATTAACAAATCTGACAATTGAAGTCCTGTTTAAAAACAAGAGGCTGTCAGAGTAACAGCAAACCAGATTTCCTGCAAAGGTTGAACCCTGAACAGTTGAGCAAGTATGGACACTACATTTAAGCTTAAAACAGTCCTGAATTTGGATTGTGATTGAATATTTGACAGCATAGGTTTGTGACACAAAATAAATGTGGTTAAAGAACAGAAAAATTTGAAATTGTACATTTACCTTATTACCCATTATTATGGTCCAATATCCAAAATCTAAGTACATTGTTAGAATCAGCATATCAAAGAACCCCAAGAATTCAATTTTTGATGAAATCAAACAAAAGTTTAATTTAGCACCCTTTGGACCTCAATGTGGACCAATTTGATAAAGGAACCCAAAATCTCTATATACATGGTTAGATTCAGCATTTCAAAGAACCCCATAAATTCAATTTTTGTTGAAATCAAACAAAGTGTAATTTCGGACCTTGATTTGGACTAACTTGAAAACTGGGCCCAATAATCCAATATTTAAATACAGGTTTAGACTCAGAAAGAACCCTATACATATTTATTAATCTTATCCATATGCTTATTAATTTTCTGTTCAAAGGGAAATAACTAAAACTGAATAAATGATATACAAATAGTTCTCTAAAATTAGATATGATTTAACCACTAAAAAAATAGTTCTCTAAAATTAGATATGATTTAACCACTAAAAAAATTGTTCTCTAAAATTAGATATGATGTTATATCTACTTTCAAATTATAATAAAAAATCTAAATACCACTTAGATTCAGCATATCAAAGAACACCAAGAATATTTTGGACCCTTTGGACATTAATGTGGAGCAATTTGAAGACTGGCCTCAAAATTAAAAAAAAATCTAACAAGAGACCAAATGACAAAGAAATTAATTATCAATTTCTGTTCAAAGGGAAATAACTCAAATTCAAATTAAATATAAATCGAAAATATTAAATATCTGCTTAGATTCAGCACATCAAAGAACCCAAACCATTAATTTTTTTTTAATTCAAACATAGTTTAATTTTGGACCCTTTGAACCTTAATGTGGACCAATTTGAAAACAGGCCCCAAAATTAAAAATATAAATACATGATTAGATTCAGCATATCAAAGATCACCAATAATTCAATTTTTGAAGAAATCAAACAAAGTTTAATTTTGGACCCTTTGAACCTTAATATGGACGGTAAAAGTGAAAATCATCAATATCAATCTTGACCTCCATTTTGTCATCAGTAACAACATAATATAATTTTAAAAGCTTTGGTTGAACGGTTCATGAGTTAAAGCACGGACTAGACTGGAAACACCATTTTTCAATCTTTCAAGAACCATAACTCCTGAACGGTGAAAGTGAAAATCGTCACTATCGAACTTGACTTCCATTTTGTCATCAGTAACAACATATTAAAATTTGAAAAGATTTGGTTGAACGGTTCATGAGTAAATGCACGGACACTGTTAGGCAGCCACCCACCCGCTGTACATCACCAAATAAATAACCGTTTTTTTTTTCATAAAATCCGTTTAATAATGAAAAGGGAGCTTCCTTCTATCTATCCCAACAATAATGTAAAGTTTGGAGGAAATCAATCCAGGTATACTGAAGTAAGTGTGCAGAATGTGAAAAATTTCTTTAAATCTAACAATTAAAGTCCAGCAACTCTGAAATTCTATTCTTGTAAGTAATTCTATGTCATAATGCAAGTAATATCATGTCATAATGCAAGTAATTCTATGTCATAATACAAGTAATTTCATGTCAAGATGCAAGTAATTCTATGTCATAATACAAGTAATTTCATGTCATAGTGCAAGTAATTCTATGTCATAATGCAAGTAATTCTATGTCATAATGCAAGTAATTTCATGTCATAATGCAAGTAATTCTATGTCATAATGCAGGTAATTCTATGTCATAATGTAAGTAATTCTATAGCATAATGAAAGCAATTCTAATACTGTATATCATTTTAATTCTGTGTCATAAAAATTTCCATTATAATCATAAAGAACATTTCCAGAAAGAAATCATCTGATAGCTCTTTTTGTTGTCAGATTCTACAAATTGTTTATCTTTTTTTCTAATCCCCTCAATACCTTACAAGTATTTCATTACAGACAAGTTTGCATACAATATTTCATTACTGGAATAGTCATGAATATAATTGATATGACACTATTCAGTCATATAACTGTTTTGTCTGATTTTAACCTATATCCTATTCAAAGCAATTAATGAAAATAAAACATAAGCAACAACCGCAGTATATATAAACATACATTTTTCTTATATTCAATTTAATAATTCTTACATTCAACAAATCCCAATGTTTACATATTTAACACATTTTCTAGCTTTCATGCAACACATGTATAGATATACACAAAACAAGTTAAAAATCAAGACAAGAGTTGACAGTTTAAAATGTCTTGCCTGCTACAATATTTGGATTACAGTAAAATAATTTTTGTGGTCTTATTTTTGCAAAACATGTGTCAAGATAATCTTTGCAGTAACGTTATTTCCCATTTTAATTTCTTTTGCATTATTTGTGTGCAGATTTTTCAGAAATCACATTAATAAATCTCACATTTTTGTCTTTTCATCAACAATCACATCAATAAATGTATGCAATAATTTCTTAACAGTAGATTAATGGTCATTGAAAAATCTGAAACTGAGGTTATGTTCACATGATACCTGTCAACATGCACATATATTTCTTCTAAATTCTAAAAAAAAATTAATGGGGAATGTGTCCATGGGACAGATAATGCCCCTGCTTGCATATCATATAAAGTTATAAAGGGACATAACTGAAGAACGGTAAAAGTGACACTACCCAAATTTGTACTTGATCTGAGTTTTGTGGTAATTAGTATTGTGTATAAGTTTCATAACATTTGGTTGAGGCAAACTTAAGTTAGAGAACAGAAACGAAAAATTCAGCAATTTTTTCCATTTGTAAAGGGGCATAACTCTAGAACAGTAAATGTGACACCACCAAAATTCAAACTTGATCTGTATTTTGTTGTAATAAGCATTGTATATAAGTTTCATAATATTTTGTTGAGGCAAACTAAAGTTAGAGAACGAAAACCAACTTTGGGACGTACATACGTACAGACGGACAAGGGTAAAACTTAATGCCCCATCCGCTACAGTGGGGGCATAAAAATCATCTATCAAGTATAATTTCTCCGATTGTAATAAAAATATAAACACAACTGACATTTAGATCATGTAAACAAGGTCATGGCGATATGTGATTTGAATGAATTTCAGACAACAAAAACACATACTAAATATTGTCAACCTATAATGTAAAATTACCCAGAAAAAGGACCTTATCCTAACAACTAAACCTGACAACTGGAGCATGAGATTGAGCACAAGGCCAAATATAACATTTACATAAACAGATTTAGATGTTTTTCATATACAAAATATTTTCTGACTTATCTTATCATGTATCATTACTTATAAACTTGACTTCCCACACTTGGCATACTTGTTAAAATCTTATTGTTATCTCATGTTTATATCACACGGAAATCTACTCCTTACAACAAATCAATTTAATAAATATTGTTGAGCTACTGATAAAATATTTATTCTAATTAACACTACATTATGAACAGGTCAAAGCCATATGACATGCAAGACATATACTGTAAATTTGGAAATTATTGCGATGTTATTATTATTGCAAAATATGTGACAGGGTTGTAATCGAAAAATCTGGATTTTTCTATATGAATGAAGTAGGATTTTTTGCAGTATCGCAAAAATAATAATTGCATTTTAGTCAAAAATGACAAAATCGCAATAATATCTGAATTTACAGTACTTATTTGAACCAACTATCAAAAATATTTGACCTTTAATGAATTAATGTTTGATTGTTTAGGATAAAGAAAATCAAACAATACGTCAAATAAGTAGGTACTGTATAATGGGTCAACTGGGTTAGAGGACATGAAATTAGGACCTATTATAAAGAGGTATTGAAGAACAGACTATTATCTTGAACCTGACAACTGGAACGTGAAAGTGAGGTAAAAGGTTTACAATGAAGTCAAATGAATATTTATCTTCAGCACATTTATATACCAAATACTGATGAGCTATCATGTACGTTAAAGAAAGAACATAATTCTGAATTCTTGACCTGACCACTGCAGCATGAAAATGAGGAGAAGGTCATATGACATAAAGGAAAGACAGTATGACAATTTGAAAGATTGAGTATGGTTAACTTATATTTAACCACTTTTACAAGGAGCATACCTACATTTGTATCCCTGAAGAGTTAATCTAAATACGTGAGCATGAAAATTAGAGAGAAAATTGGTGAAAAAAGTCTTGATAAAAAATCTTACAAATGTAGCTTTACTTAAATGAAAATGAGGATAAGGTAAAAAGGTGTTTGTAAATGCATAATGTCATTTCCTGAAAAGCATTACCAATGTCACTACTTCACCAACTAATGTAACAAATCATAGTCTACTGTACTACTTATGGCAACTATCAGTGTTGCATCGTCTTTAAAAATCCTAATTTTAATACCGTCATTATCTGAAAATAAATTACATTTACTTATGTTTTACAATATATGCTGATTAATACAAATGGATGGGCCCTTAAAATCAAATACCATCTTATCAACTAAAAATTTACTAAAGTTCAGCTTGCATGCTTTCAAAAATAATGCAGATGACAGATGCAAAAGGTTCAAAATAAAAAATTGAGAAGAACCATTCAAAGCATTGTTTAGAATATCAAAAAAAATAGTCTGGTTACAACATGGTTTGTCAAATATAATCCAGATAAATATGATATATATATATATATGGTTTCTGTTCACACACCAAGCTATGCCCTCATTGTTTATGGAAAAATCTTAGTGTTTATATTTGCATTTAGCTATCAAATGTACATCCTCATCTACTGTAACTGGGCAATAAACACTTTATAATAGGTACTGAAAGTCTAAACAAGAAGACATATCATCTACAAAATGTCACCAATATAGGAGGTAAGATAAACACATGTAAAGTAAAGCATAAATAAAACACTGATAATTGATGACATTGTAATTTTTAACCAAGACTAGAACATGTATTATATGTTAAGGTAGCTGTATTGATTAGACTAAAAAAAACATTTAATAATGCATACAGAGTAAGCCTTAGTTGAATATCACAGTGCATAAAGTTTTATGCCTTATACAGAATTTATTTTTCTATAAAAATTGGAAAAAATAAACAAGAATTCAGTAGAAAGCTGCATTGAAATATTTATAGTTATTTTCCAAAATTATGAAGAAAATTTCATGTTTTTCTATGAAAATCACAGCAAACAATAGCTTAAACTATACAATTACTGACCTTGTCCAAATTAGCAATGCATGTATGTTTATAATATTTCAATATCACAATCACAAGAACACCACACTCAATCATAACATTTAATGTCAACATTTTTTTTGGTTATTGTACAATGACAAGCTATCTAAAACATCATCATTACAATCAATGAAGATTGACTGGAAAATCTAATAACGACTTTCACCAACAAAACAGCGACCACTTTCCAGTGAAATAGAGAAACAACCTATTAACCTATTGGCTCTTGACTACTAATTGATGGTGACGAGTGCATGGAAATTCTGAGCAAGTTTATTGCAAAAATGGTGAAAATCATAGTGAGTCTATAGTACCATGGGTATGATGTGTCTTGTCAGAAATATGAAGTAAATTGGGCTTTTTTTTTTAAACCTTTGATGTTTCTTCATAAAATTCTGTTTTCTATTTTATGTTCAAATGAAATGAACCTATAAAAAATTCCTTTTATAAGTAATAGAAAATTTGCTTCTGCAAATATTTCAATATAGCACTTTATTATTTGATATAAACAAACCAGATCAATAAATGAATTTAATATATCAGAAATGGTAACATACGTATCAATAAATTATGAAAATTGTAACAAGTTAAATTTTATAGACGTTTCACAAGTCTCTATCATTTCAACTAGAAAATGACTAAATAAAATATCAACAGTGACACCAGTGTAGATCTTCATCACAGCTGATCTTCAAAAATGAAATAAGCAATCCTAAAAGTAGCATGTATCAATCCTGAAGAGAAGAATATCTATTTCCAAGTGATAACTGTTGGCTAACTTTATTAGAATCGTCTATATTTCTTCCTCCTGACTGTACTTTTTCAAAATCTCCTCTAGATTCACTAAAAAATAATAAAACATTTTAATAAATTGAAACATACTTGTCATACAAAGGATTTTTGGTGCAATAATTCTTATATGATATACATATCTACAAATACTTGAATCAGAGTGGTCCGTTAGAATATTTTGCTTTGGTTTACACTTCGATAAACCATGTTGCCAAAACTACTTTCGTAACCTTCACTGTGATCTATTCATGTGCGACACTCATGCATGGGATCCAGGGGTTCTAAGTAAATTGAGATTAAAAAACAAATACATAACTGTTATTTCTTTTTTAACGCATAACACAAATTAAAGAAATAATGTATTATAGCTTGGAAAATGTATGAAATTAAAATAAAATAAAATTCCGCGAAACATCATGAATGATCTTGGCGCGTTCATGTCATGGCAAAACATGGCGTCATACGAATGAAAACGTTCAAGCTAATGATTATTCCGTTACTTGTACACTTCAAATTCGGACACAATCTCATTAAAATGAAGTTTTTGAGGTAGGTGTTATTTCAATTTAGATTCTATAGCATTAATCGAACAGTTATGGATGTCACAGAGTCTATATGGCGGCTAACTCCTTAGTTACGGAATGTCAATTGTGCATTTGATGGTAAATAGTAGCCAATAAACACAACATTGTTCATTAAAAATGTAAATGTTTGTCTTAAGAATTATAAGGATTAAACACATTTTTTCTAGAGGTTATTGATGTGTAAACTGGGTCGCTTATTCAGACTTTTATGTAAAGTTTGTAAGCGACCCAGTTTACACATCAAAAACCTCTAGAAATAAACTGTTATCACAGAGATATGTCTCGCCCTTTTGTTATTTTGATTATGCAAATGTTGAAATTAAAATAGCAATACTTTAACATGTTTCATAAGTTATGCAAATATTCAAAGTCAATGAACCATGACTGAGGTACATGGCTAATCAATCTCCATGTAAATGAGATGTGCCAAAGCTAATACAACTGCATACCAAATACCATTGACTTATTATAAGTCGTTCCCTTTAAACAAACCTAAACACAAACATTAACTTGTAAAAGTTTCAAAGTCAATAAACCATGAAGAGGGGGTGGGGCTATATAATCTCCATGGAAACGATACTTGCAAATGCCAATAAATTTGCATACCAAATATCATTGACTTAACATAAGCAGTTCATCTTAAACTGATCTAATCACAAACTAATACATGTAAACTAAGCAAAAGTTTTTAAGGCGATAGACCATGACTGAGGGGGCGGGGCCAAATATTCTCCATGGTAATGAGATGTGTTAATGCTTATACAACTGAAAACCAATTAACATTTGCCTACCCTAAATGGTTAACTTTTTTCATAGTCAATAGACCATGATCAAGGGGGCGGAGCCAAATAATCTCCATGGAAATGAGATATGCCAATGCTTATACAACGCATACCAAATATCATTGACCTACCACTAGTGGTTCCCCATAAACTGATCTAATCACAAACTAATACATGTAAAATAAGCAAAAGTTTCAAAGTCAATAGATCATGACTGAGGGGGCAGGGCCAAATAATCTCCATGGAAATGAGATGTGCCAATGCTAATACAACTGCATACCAAATATGATTGACCTACCTCTTGTGGTTCACCATAAACTAGACCTAATCACAAACTAATACATTGTTGACGACGCCGCTGCCGGAAACAGCATACCTATGTCTCGCTTTTTGAGTCCGTCAAGGCGAGACAAAAATGTGTTTAATCCTATAATAAACAGTTTTTCAGATTGACTTCATATTTTGAGGGGCCATACATAAGTGACCCTTTAGGTGGTTTTGTCTATTAAAATACTTCTAGCTTTCAATTTACACAACCAAAACACAGTTGTCTTCCCTTAAACCAAGTATATATCTATACTAATTTTAAAATTATTCTGATCATAAAACATTCTTATAGCTAACCAAGCCAAAGTTTACTATCAAATACAAAAAAAAAAGGTTTATGGTTTCTAAGAGAAAGGATTAATTGTATAAAGGTTTGACAAAGTAATTGATGTGTAACAATCTTTAACCCCAGACTGTATCTACTTGTTAACTGTAAAAAAATAAATAGGGCATGTGTCCATGGAACACAGATGATGCACCCGGTTGCATATAACATTATAAAGGGATATATTTGATTTTGATTTTTTGGTGTTTTAACGCCACTTTTAAGCATCGCTTTTGGGCTATTTCGTGGCGGCCAGTTTTTATTAATGGAGGAAGCCAGAGTGCCCGGAGAAAACCACTGACCTTCGATAGGAAAACTGACAATCCTAGTCAATTAAGATTGGAGTCGAGTGCACCCGCACGAGCGGGGTTCGAACTCACAACCTCAGTGTTGACTGGCTAGTGATTACAGTATAACTACTTAGACCATTCAGCCACCGAGGCCCCCTAAAGAGATATAACTCAAGAACTGTAAAAGTGACGCTACCCAAATTTGTACTTGATTTGAGTTTTGTGGAAATAAGCATTGTTTATAAGTTTCATAACATTTCGTTGGGGCAAACTAAAGTTAGAGAACAGAAACGAAAAATTCAGCAATTTTTACATTTGTAAAGGGGCATAATTCTAGAACGGTAAAAGTGACGCCACCAAAATTCAAACTTGATCTGTGTTTTGTGGTAATTAGCATTGTGCATAAGTTTCGTAACATTTGGTTGAGGCAAACTAAAGTTAGAGAACGGAAAACCAATTTTGGGACGGACGGACGGACAGACGTACTTACAGACAGACAAGGGTAAAACTTAATGCCCCTTCCGCTACAGCGGGGGCAAAAAAACTCAGTAAAATACAGAAAAATGTTAATATTTTCAAAATTTTGCTCTGGATACTGTATTTTGGTCAAAAACAAGCTTCTGTCCAAATATCATAAAATCCATGAAGGTGTGACAAAGTTATTGATATCTAAAAAAAACTTTAATCACAGACTGTACCTAAATGTTGATGATTTGGACACTGAAATCTAGGATCGCTGTGTGTCGCTTTCACGACAAAAATGTTGCATGCATGAAAAAAATAAGCAGACATTATTTTTGACATATCACATGCATTAAGTGCTCATTGGACAGAAGTTTAATATAAGGTACCGTTTAACATCTAATGAACACACCTTGAGCTTCCCCAACTTTTAATCTCTGGAGTATTGCCTCCTCCTAATGTGGGGAAATCGTCTTCACTATGTAAATTTGGAGCAGTTCTTTTCCTTCTGGGTGTTGGTCTTGTTGGTGTTCCTGATGCTGACTGGCCTCCTGCTCTTGCACCAGGAGGAACATATTTGCCTAGTTTTGGTTTGTCTTCTTTTGGAGTTTCAGGTTCAGGCGGTGGAGGTTCTGGCACTGCTGTTGGTGCTACATGTACTAAAATTTGGTTACAAGCAAATAATATGTAAAAATGTGGATAAAAACATGTAATATACATTAACTTAGTATTATCTCTTAAATCATATGCTTTTTTATGCTATTTATTTGATAAATTGAATTAAACAAGAATGCACACATTAAAATGTCCCACCTGCTTCAATGATTATGATTTATTTAATGTTGAAAGTCTTTAAGATAAAACTTATACAACAAGAATCACAAAAACTTAACGTTATCAATGATCCATGTAAATGAGGTCAATATCAGACGAACATATAATTCAAGGTTTAAGCTAGGATTTTGAGGGCTAAGGTAGTTATTGCATAGGGCATACCTGTCAAATAACCTGTATGACGTGAATTTACCAGCTCACCAAAATTTGTTTTAAATGACCTGCCTGGGTCATCAAATATAAGTGATTTATGTATCTGACCCATTTTCACCTGAATCTAGTTCCATGAGACTTTTGAGTTCTTATTTGAAAATTTTTCTCCCGAAATACTTTAAAATTTGATTTTCAATCTGAACTTTATTTACTGTTCAAGTTTGTCACAGCATAGATGCTAATTATCTCTTTAATTATAGCATACAGAGGTGTCAAATTCAAAGGAAATAGCCAAGAAAGTCTTAAAATCGCCGTAGGCAAAAAATCATTAATCTAAATATGTTTTTAAATAATATCAATCTTAAAATGATAAAATGTTTGTTACAGTAATCCCAAACCGGCATTAAACCATTAATCTCTCTTTTAAATGACTTAAAAACCTAAACCCCCTCAATCCATGTCATGATGTGTGAAAAATAACAGAACAAAAATGCATTTCTTCTTATTCTTCTGTATATTGCTCCTGCAATAGGAGCACCTGGGAAATAGGTGAAAACACTATCTATTTAAGAATGTATTCTCCACAAGCATTCATACTAAAGTCAGAGGTATGTATGTAGACAAATCTTGAGAAGGTATTTCAATACAAGGAAAAGTTATAGTTCAGTTCTCTTCCTTGTATTCAGGTGTGCTCCTACTTCTTTGAAGGATAATAAACAGTAGAAGTGAATATAATGAATGGCTGTCAGTTTTGTTAATAGTCCTTCTGCACCTTGTTGAGATGATTGAAAAGTGAAACATTTTATGGCAATGTATGGATAAAATTATCATACAACTAAATTAATGTAGTCAAATTCATCTTCTACTAACTGTACTAGAAAATATTCGGAAACAAAGTTGTGTTAATACTGTAGGAAAAACAAACAAACCAGGTTGTGTAGACTGTTGGGATTTATGCCAAGGGCCTGAGACAGCTTCTCTCTTTTCTTTAGTCTCTCCATCTTCTTCATTTTCATTTTCATTCACTTCTTCTTCTCCATCTTCCTCTTCTTTGCTTCAAATAGAAATGTTTTCTTTCATTTACCAACTTGCACTCATATAACATTCAACAGGTTGCTCTTAAGAGCCTACGTTGCTCACCTGGATCTCTGTGCTTCTTCAACAATGGTGACTTTCCAACATCATAGACTAAAATAAGATTCATGACAAAATCTCTTTTTTGTTAATCCTGTCTTGCTGTTCTTGCTTGTCATTTTCACTGTTTACAGTTTCTCTCTATCTTCTATAATTTTTGCCCAAAACAAAAGTTTAACAGAAGACAATTGACTACATGTGATGATAATCAGCTGATAATAGCTCACTTGACTTTTGAAATTCTCACCTTTTAGAATTTATGATTTGTTTAGTGTTCATCATCATGCAGGTTTCAAAGGGGCAATTGTCCTATTTAAGCATTTATGATTTGTTTAGAGTTCATGCAGCTTTCAAAAGGGCAGGGTGATTTTTAACTCAGTCACTATGTGCGTGAATGGTGACTCTTAGTGTTGGGGACTACACCTTCAGGGCACACTTGACTGTTACTGATGGGGATTCAAACAAATTATTACTATATTATTGTGTCATATTTAATGTAAAAAGAAAACGATATATACTGTATATATTTGATTACTAATTTCATTTCTTTTTGTAATAAGATGATTATTTCTAGTCTTGTTAATGTGACCACCTCTTTAACAACTCCAGTCAACTTTAATACTGGCTTTGGTTGGCCAGGATGTGCATGTTGATTTGTTGTGAAAGTGTCAGACTTACAGGGCCAAAAGCATAGGAATCGCTTTTTTGATGCAAAAAAGAATCAGTGCCTGTTGCATGGGTGTTAATATAAGTTATATGATTTGCTACTGACCCCATACGGATCCATAGAGGGTTAGTAAAATCCATACGGGGTGAGGCTGAAGGTGATAATGTATTATATAATACCAATTAAAGGTACATTGGCTCATAACTTTAAATATCTTTTAAGGTCAATCATTTACTTTTTCATGTTACATTTTGTAAATCTGTGTTTGTTTTAACTGTGTTTGTTTTTTGGAACTAAAACCTGATCAGTTAACTTGTAAACAGGTAATTATTTTTGAGGAAAGGTGCTTTATTATTGCGATAATTAAGCAATTTGGTTACGGAATAACAATCTCACAGCTGAGTATGTGTTGTAGTTGCAATTAAAAATGTTGGTCAACTGTTCTATACTTTTACTGTATCAAAATATAATTACATCTATGTGCATCTTCATCAATGGACACTCTCCAACATTTTATGCTCGAATATTATTCTGGATTAAATTGACTTATTTGAAGATCTTGTATTACTGATCATTTTTGCTTTTAAAGTTTTTATCTACCTATTATAGTTTTCAAGAAAATAGGCAAAAAGGCCAAAAAGTATTAACATCATCATAATCATTAAAGGGCAATTACTCCAATAGAATTAACTGACAATTTCAGCCATGATATGTTATGTGTAGATCTTGTCTTGCTGATCATTTTTGCTACATAAAGTTTATGTATATCCATTATAATTTTCAAGATAACAGGCAAAAATGAAAAAAAAACATGTAAAATTCATTATTCAAGGGCAATAACTCCTACAGGAAGTCATCCTTCAGTTTTGATGTAAATAGACAGAAGGTAGATCTCATTATCTGAACATTTTTGCCCCTTTCAGTTTTCTCTATCTATAGTGGTTATCAAGATAATATACATATAGATTCTACCACTGCATCGAGTGTGATACGATATTTATCCACTCGAGACAGTTAAATTTTCAAATTTAAAACGCGAGGCTCGCCGAGCGTTTTAAATATTTAAAATTTAACTGTCGAGAGTGGATAAATATCGTATTACACGAGATTTGGTGGTGGAATCTGTTTCTCTAATGATTTTCAAACAATACGCAGGCAAATTTATTCCTTCTTTTCGGATGATCTGCAAAAAGATGTGTTCTTTCTATGTGACGTCATCAGGCATGGTCGCCTTTTTTCATGCCGTCACAATAGGAAATTCAGAGGAAAGCAAGAAAATTCGACGTCATAATCGGATTTTAACCAATGAAGAACTGAGATCAAACGAACCACACGTTGATTAAATTTTTTTTATACAATGGGTGCAGAAAGGGATAAATTGACGAAGAATTAGAGAAAAAACTATACAAAACTTGCATTTTACCTGTATGTTCTATTGCTAGCCATGCTGGTTGGCAGACTAGGTCATCAGACACACATATTTAAACAAGATACCCCAACGATGATTGTGGCCAAGTTTGGTTAAATTAATTTGGTCCAGTAGTTTCAGAGGAGATGATCTTTGTAAAAGTTAACGAACAACTACAATAGACGCCAAGTGATGGCAAAAGCTCACATTATAAAATGTTCAAATATTGATTGCCTCTAAAAGGAAATAACTCAAAGGATCTTATCAAAAGATGAATCACAATAATGATCATGAATTACGCCAGGCCATTAAAAAATACAACAGAAAAAGTGAGACATTGCCACATGCAAGACAAAAATGGCCTTACTTAGATATTTGTAAATTCTGTATCCTCAACCCACTGTAGTCTGTTTCTGTTTCCTGTTCAAAGTCAACCCATTCTTCATCATCCTAAATGAAAAAAATAATTAGATGCAAATAAATAATTAAATTGTTATATATGTTGTTACATCAGGGATCGCCATTACCTGTTTACGGTGGTGCACCTGGTGCAGAGATTTTTTCTCTCTTGTTTGGTCATTTTGTTAGGGCTTAATGAAATTGGAGTAGTTTTTCCCCACTGTAAATTTCAAATCAGAAGTCACATGATAAACAAACTTGTATCAAAGGTTGTGAGTATTTACAACATTTAACAAAACTTCCATCCATTTTTTATAGGTAGCAGACTTGCAGTGTTCTCCCCAGGCCATTACAGCATTGCAGTTATCAGAACTACCACATTTCAAAGCTGTGCTATTGGACAGACTGCAGCCCCATCCAATCAAATCCCCACACTATAGATTTTTAATTTTCAAATTTCCTGTGTTAACCTGTACAATTTGGGTAATGTGATCACCGGGATTATTTGTCAGAGACCTTTTTCTTTCTGGAGGTTTTTTTCACTAAAAAGTATAAACAATAAATGGGGAATGTGTCCATGGGACACAGATGATGCCCCCCCTTGCATATAATGTTATAAAGGGACATAACTCAAGAACAGTAAAAGTGATGCTACCCAAATTCGTACTTGATCTAAGTTTTGAGGTAATAAGCATTGTGTATAAGTTTCATAATATTTGGTTGAGGCATACTTAAGTTAGAGAACGGAAACAAATAAATGGGGAATGTCACTGATGATGCCCCCACTTGCATATAATGTTATAAAGGGACATAACTCAAGAACGGTAAAAGTGACGCTACCCAAATTTGGACTTGATCTGAGTTTTGTGGTAATTAGCATTGTGTATAAGTTTCATAACATTTGGTCAGTGTTCGCCCCAGGGCCTTTTAGGTGTAATACCACCATTGATTTTCCCCTATTAGTCTTTGTTAAATTTGCACTTTTCAAAAAATTGTGCAGAATTTATCTTTGTTTCAAATAAAGAAATACTTGGCATGAGTAAAGTTTGATCCTGTCCAGTACTATAGAAAAAATTTCACATAACATTTCATTGCATATAAGAAAATAACCATCCCTGGAAGTTAACCAATCAAATTTTCCCCCTTTTTTAACCTGTATACAAGCTTTAGTAACCATGTAACCTCAAGTTTCCAAAATATTCTATAGAAACCCCAAATAAAAAAATAATGGTGCTTTGAAATACCCAAGATATATGTTTATGACCCAGAAATGTTTTACTGCAATGAAATGTAGGATCAATTACCTACAACTGTCAAATTCAAGGGAATATTTTTTTTCGACCTATTTTCGTATGCAACCGGATGTGACGTACTATGATTTGGTGGTATTACACCTAAAGAAGACTTTTTTGTTAAATAAACTGAATGTGACTTTTTTCCTTTGTTATACTGGTTATTTCAAGCATTCCTGTCAAGTTTTGTCATAATCAGTTCAATAGTTTGAGAAAAATCTAGTATAATGTAAGACGACATCTGCAGCGATTCGAGCTAAATTTCTTCGAAAAATCCAAACCAAGCCGCATCATGATAGAATATAGTGTGGACCAATAAATGATCAAATATTTATCTCATCTGCCTACAAACAGTTGAATATGATACAAAAGATGACTTTAGGATGATAAATACTACCAATGGACCTCTTTGTCTTCCTTATAAGGTCTCTTCTGGTCCATTTATACCTCTCATTTCCTCAAAATTTCTACTTTATAGGCCAATAAATAAAAATTTTGGGGTAACTTTCACTCATTTATGATAGAAATGTTATAATAAATGATTAATTGAAGTATTCAAGCTGAATGAACTATCCGTATAAAAGTTTACTGTCTCCAAGGAGGTTTCAATAAGTCCTTACGTAAAACTTAAATTTACGCCGCGTTCCAGAGAGGGACATAAAAAGCTTCTCTTTTGGTGAATAATTTGTTGTTACTGCTTTAAAAATAATTTCATTTACTTAAAACTATATATTTATTAAAGTATTTCTTAGGAAAATTTTTTCTAGTATAGCAGAATATAAGAAAAAAGGAGAAAAAGCTCCCCAAAACTCTAAGTATGGCTTATTCTGTCAACTAATATTCATGGTAAAGTCCTATTTCAAGGAAATTTTCTCATAAAATGTGTTTTGGAGACTCAATCCACTCAGAATATTTCATTATTAGTAATATTTCACTTAAATAGCAAGAAATTTTAACACATGAGAGTACTCACAAGGTCAAAGGTGCATGTACAGCTTCCTATATTAGGTGTAATACCACCATTGATTTTCCCCTATTAGTCTTTGTTAAATTTGCACTTTTCAAAAAATTGTGCAGAATTTATCTTTGTTTCAAATAAAGAAATACTTGGCATGAGTAAAGTTTGATCCTGTCCAGTACTATAGAAAAAATTTCACATAACATTTCATTGCATATAAGAAAATAACCATCACTGGAAGTTAACCAATCAAATTTTCCCCCTTTTTTAACCTGTATACAAGCTTTAGTAACCATGTAACCTCAAGTTTCCAAAATATTCTATAGAAACCCCAAATAAAAAAATAATGGTGCTTTGAAATACCCAAGATATATGTTTATGACCCAGAAATGTTTTACTGCAATGAAATGTAGGATCAATTACCTACAACTGTCAAATTCAAGGGAATATTTTTTTTCGACCTATTTTCGTATGCAACCGGATGTGACGTACTATGATTTGGTGGTATTACACCTTTAGCATCATGGTAATGTGATGCTATATTTCTTGAATTGGTTTTCTTATAGATTACGTTATGGATGTAATGCTATATTTTTAGAAACAAGATGGTATTTCAAATTTCCCTGTTTACCAGGATGCTATATGAAATATCTAGGGAGAACACTGTTGGTTGAGGCAAACTTAAGTAAGAGAACAGAAACGAAAAATTCAGCAATTTTTCCATTTGTAAAGGGGCATAACTCTAGAACGGTAAATGTGACATCACCAAAATTCACACTTGATCGGTGTTTTGTGGTAATAAGCATTCTGCATAAGTTTCATAACATTTAGTTGAGGAAAACTTAAGATAGAGAACAGAAAGAAAAATTCAGCAATTTTCCATTTGTAAAGGGGCATAACTCTAGAATGGTATAAGTGTCGCCATAAAAATTCAAAAATGGATCTGTGTTTTGTGGTAAATAGCATTTTGTATAAGTTTCATAACATTTTGTTGAGGCAAACTTAAGTTAGAGAACGGAAACCAATTTTGGGACGTACATACGGACGGACATGGTAAAACTTAATGCCCCCTCCGCTACGGGGGGGGGGGGGGGCATAAAAATTCAGCAATTTTTCCATTTGTAAAGGGTATAACTCTAGAATGGTATAAGTGACGCCACCAAAAGTCAAAGCTGATCTGTGTTTTGTGGTAATAAGCATTGTGTATAAGCTTCATAACGTTTGGTCAAACTTTTTAACATGTTTAAGAAAAGTTTTATCCTTTCTCTGTCCATCTTGTGTTCTTGTCCCTTGTTTGAATCCTCAACGATTATTTCATTATAGTTATTAGTTTACAACTAAACTGATGAAGCTGCATCCTTATAGATACGCTCCAGTTGTCAAGGTACATGTAGTCAATACAAGTCTGTATTTGACAATAACTTGGGTATGTGATGTAATTGAGTGGTTGTAGTTTGTTGCTGTATATCATATTTTTGTTTTTCGTTTTATTGTTTTGTAAATAAATCAGGCCGTTAGTTTTCTTGTTAGAATTGTTTTACATTTGTTATTTTGAGGCGTTTTAATAAAAAGCTTGCTTTGTGGTATGGGTTTTGTTAGTTGTTGAAGGCTGTACAGTGACCTACAATTGCTAACCTTCTCAGCCCTCAATTTAGGCTATTAAAACAGTCGCCTGGGCTACCTATAAAGCCTCCAGGTGACCTTGATTTTATTGTTGGTTGCCATTGGTTCTATTTGGACCTGGCGACTGTAAAATTCCGGATAATCAAGCTGCCTCCGGTCGTATTTTATTGTTTTATTCACAGTCATACGAGCGCTTGAATGCATGCTAGATCTTTATATGATTTCAAGCATTTTTAATCTTAACGGGGTCTATAAAGCGCTTAACTTAACTGGGAATTCAAGCGTCTGATGAAGTGTTTTCGGAGCCAATACATCATGGCAGCCAAACAGATGTTGCTGTCCAGATTTTTCAAAACAACTACCCAAAACAATGATGTTTCACCAGCTAAGAAACAAAAAGAAGGGGTGGAGAGTTCCTCTATAGAAACTCCGGCTTCTGAAGAGCCAAGTACATCTTCTAATGTTACGATTAAGTGTAAAATTGTGGCAACAACTTCAAGTGGTACTGGAAAATTTATAAGAAAATTCCATAACAGCTGGCTAAAAGAGTTCTCCTGGTTTATTGATATGCTTATTTTACTAGTCTTCATTAGCTCTACTGACTAGACTTTCATAACAAATTTCTTAGGCAACCTGAAATTATTTCCCGGCCACTAAAATTTTGAATTGGCCACTGAAATTTTATATCTGGTGGCCAAAAGGCAACCTGGTCTTTAAACCTACTTAGAGGGCTGCTTCTACGTCATTTGGTCTCTGGTGGGCAGTTGTGTTGTCTCATTGGCAATCATACCACATCTTCCTATTTTTATATTGTCCTTGCATCACTATTAACAAAATATTATACAGGAAAAGCAAATTGCAAAATTGAGTAAAATAAGTATCCAAATATTAAGTTTACTACCTACATGACCTAAATTTCAATAAGCAGTAATTTAGTGTTATTTAAAATCAATAATGCCGGAGGATTGCTTGTATTTGAAAAAGCATTTTTAATGATTCAGGCCAGACTTAAAAATTTCTGTTTGCCCAAACCCTACCCACCAGTCTCAGGTGTGGGTAGGTAGGTAGGGAAATTATTTTTTTTTTTACTTTTAGAGAAAAATAGGGGAACAAATAATTTTACCTTGTAAACAACTTTTAAAATGAAAGACTATTATAGAGTTTTGTATAAATTGTCAGACACATATATGCCAGGATCTATAATTTTGTACTATAAGATCTTTTCTATCAACAGTTTTTTTTCAGCATTCCACCTCAATGTTCACACTTTTTTCTGAATGTTTACATTGTAAATAAAGAAAAACATTTTAAATGAGTTTATACTCAGTACTACGAGAGAAAAATATTTCCCTGAAATAAGAAAAGAGATCACCATGATCACTGATAAAATCACACCAACAAAATGGAACTGCACCTTCACGAACAAAACTGCGATAGTACAATTGCTTATAGACTGTTCAAAATATAAGAAGCTGTTTAATAACTGTGAAAAATTCAAGGAAAATATTGAAAACAAAACCAGAAATATGTTATTCCAAATGCATATAGAAAGATTGAAAATTATGGACAACAAATAGCAAGATTGATTTTTGATTTTTGGTGTTTTAACGCTACTTTTAAGCACCGCTTTTGGGCTATTTCGTGGTGGCCAGTTTTTATTGGTGGAGGAAGCCGAAATATAGTGATTATCATAAGTGACATATATATACCGACAGAGTCTGTCATATAACAATTGTAAGAAATGTAAAGAAGCTCTGGACAAATATTAAAAGGTATGAAAATGAAATTAAATAATAATTAATAATTAATAAAAAGGTCCCTATAAATATGCCATGCATGATACTTTTATTGTTTTATATTTATATGTGCTGTAAATATGTTGGAAAAAACGGTTTTTTTTTTATACTTTAAAATTTTTAAGTTAAGGAAAAACTCCATACATTCGGAGGGTCTCCTAATTTAAGGAGGCTCATACTAAGAAGAAGAATGGAAGAAGTTTATTTGAATACAAAATTCAAATTACAAAACATTTGAACAACACAATGACATATTATTATAAAACCGGATGTGGGTACGCGCAGCCTACGAATGGCAATTTGACTATTCGTACCCGCATGCGGGTACGCGCAGACACTGCCATTAATTAAATGGTTTGAATTAATAATAATCTTGTTTATAATGTAATACATTGTACTTATGAATTTGAGTTCATTTGCTATTTATCTGAAAAAGTTTTGTGCAAAAGAAACTTAATAAATGGGGAATGTGTCCATGGGACACAAATGATACCCCTGCTTGCAAATAACGTTATAAAGGACATAACTCAAGAACGGTAAAAGTGACACTACCCAAATTCCTACTTGATCTAAGTTTTGTGGTAATAAGCATTGTGTATAAGTTTCTTAACATTTGGTTGAGGGAAACTTAAGTTAGAGAACAGAAACGAAAAATTCAGCAACTTTTCCATCTGTAAAGGGGCATAACTCTAGAAAGGTAAAAGTGACGCCACCCAAATTCAAAGCTGATCTGTGTTTTGTGGTAATAAGCATTGTGTATAAGTTTCATAACATTTGGTTAAGGCAAACCAATTGCAAGGACGGACAGACAAGGGTAACACTTAATGCCCCCTCTGGTGATGGCCGGGACATAAAAATGTTATTCTCGCTTTGCCGCCAAGTGATTACTGTTAAGGCTATAATTTGTATCCTTCACAAGTTCCCTATTATTTATACAGTTCTGTTGGTTAATCCCAAACTGATTTAGAATAACCACTCATTTGAGTAATTTTGAGAACTATTACAAATTTTATAACTCCTTCTGAAAGTGTTAAGCATGCATCTTGTGGTACCGACTGCAACATATGCCAGGCTACAAATAGATTGTAACAAGCAAAAAGTTGTGTCAAAAGGTTACCATGTTAGTGACTAATGACCTGAGCTAAGATTACATTGGTAACTTTTCTTTCTTCTGATTGTGCTTCGTTTTCTTTATCTTTTTTCTTCTTTGACTTCTTGATACCGGCTTCCTGTTGGGCAAGGATGTCACTGGGAGTTAATTTTGATTTGTTTTTCTTTTTTGTTTTGTCTTTCTTGGCGAAAAAATCATCCAGACTTGAGTCCTCCATTTTGTAAATGTTTCTTTCTTCTTGACAAATTAAAATCCTCACAGAAATGCACAATTACGCAGTTTAACGGATCAAACGTGCAACTTTTGCCCTCCATGCACAAGAAAACAGTACCGCAGTTCACAGGACCGTGCGGTATATGTATTTATCTGTAAATTAAACAAATGAAAAACTTAAGTGATAAAATTCGAATTATGGGATTTTTTTTTATCATAATAAAAATGAAAACATTTAAAGAAAATTATTTCTAGATATATTATACATCCAAAGGGGACCATCTCAAAATATATTTCTTATGTACAATCTCAAAGCAGAAAAAATAAGGGGTCAACAGCTAATCATCGCTGGGGACGTCATCGTTGAGCACGTTAGTCCACGGAGAGGACGCTAAGGAGAGATAACTGTGTCTGTATTATATATTTGAGATGTGTCATAGTTATCTCGCTTTAGATAAGTTTTAGGTTGACGGCTTATAACAAGAGATTTTAACATGTGTGAAGTAACATGAGGTTTTATAACATTTTTTAAATAACTCTCTAAATAAAGTTTCCATGAGACAGCAACCAAAATGTAACCGAAAAAGATGTTATGTAATATTTAAAATTACAAAGAAAGAAAACAAATATATACTCTATTTACACTTGACAGCGATTTCAGCATAAATATGCAAGCCTTTGTAAATCTTCTTCTTCTTCTAAAACAAATATAAATCTCAATATAATTTTTAAATGTATATTTTGAAATCGTCCTTTGGCAAAAATATCTGAACAATCTTATAGTATGTCCTCATATACCATATACAATGTACAAACAACTATACCTTCTCGATGATCTATTTTCTATGCCAAAAAAATCAATCAGGGTAGACAAAATTATGACTTTTTTCTACAAGTATTTGAAACATTCCTGAGCTTGATTTGTTTTTTTTAAATTTCGACTGAAAGGTCAATACCGCTAATAGAAGGTATAACCAACGTCTTCAGCATGGATTTATTTTGATTTTCACTAAACACTCCATAAATGTTCATCATATGTATACTATCCAAACGTCCTGAGGGTGGATTTATTGAGAGGACTACTGTTTTTTTGTTATAATTTTAAGTAATAGAATGTTCATAGCAGGGATGCATATTCAACATCCTGAGTTTTGATTTTTCTGATGTCCACTAAAAAGTCCTGTTATGACCATACAAGGTGCGCCTTTCCAACGTCATGAGCGTGGATTTATTCTGATGTACTTTAAAAATTGACTATAAAGTCATATACTGTGAATACAAAAAAGAAGATGTGGTATGATTGCCAATGAGACAACTCTCCACAAGAGACCAAATGACATGGAAATTAACAGCTATAGGTCATCGTAAAGCCTTAAACAATGAGAAAAAGCCCATACCGCATAGTCAGCTATAAAAGGCCCCCAAATCACAAATGTAAAACAATTCAAACGAGAAAACTAACGGCCTAATTCATGTACAAAGAGATTCTGTTATCGACTAGTAAGTCATGATATGGTCATAGAAAATATACACATCCAATGTCCTGAGCGTGGATTTATTTTGTTATCGAAAAGTCGTATTAATATGCTCATAGAAGGTATGAATATCCAACGTCCTAAGCTTGGATTGATACTGATGGCCACTAAAAAGTCATATAATGGTCATAGAAGATTGACACATCCAACGTCCTGAGCGTGGATTAATTCTGATGGCCTCTGAAAATTCATATAATGGTCATAGAAGATTGGCACATCCAACGTCCTGAGCATGGACTAATTCTGGTGTCCAATAAAAAGTCATATAATGGTCATAGAACATTGGCACATCCAACGTCCTGAGCGTGGATTAATTCTGATGTCTACTAAAAAGTCATATAATTATCATAGAAGATTGGCACATCTAACGTCCTTATCGGTACTAACATTGAATATGTGTTTGAAAAATCAAAGCATAACTAAATAAATATTACTAAATATGCACACTTATGAGAACTCATGAGCTCGTACATCCTCTCGATACTGTTTACTTTTTTTTTTTGGCATTGCAAAAGTTTATGCGTTGCTATGACGTCTTTGATCTAAATCCATTGGACATATACTGATTGATACTTTAGTCTTGAACATGATTGATCTTTTAGTTGTAATTGGCTCCGAAATAACTGTCAGTAACTGCAAGTACTCTTATTTCGGTTCTTCATGTGTATTGTTTTATATTAGATGTTTTTGTGCCTCGTATCGAATTTTGAGTCAAACCAACTGCAACTGATTTGTGCAGTGTTTTTTTTATCATGTTGTGAAGTTACACCAGTGTCCCAGGTTAGAACGAGGGTTGAGAGTTCACATGTATAACCCCGCCGCATTATTTATTTACCTCTCCAAAGTTAGGAGCCTGTGGTACAAAGGTATGTCTGTCCTATTTGTTTTTCGTTAATTGTTTAGTTATACATTAGGCCGTTAGTTTTCTCATTTTAATTGTTTCACTTTTATTTTTTATATCGGGGCCTTTTATAGCCGACTATACGGTATAGGGTTTCTCATTGTTGAATGCCGTACGATGGACTATGATTGCTTACATCCACTTCATTTTAACTTTGGTGGATAGTTGTCTCATTGCCCATCACACCACATCTACATTTATATATATATATATAAAAATAAAACAGTTGGAATATGATCTAATTCATTTGACATACAATATTCATCGAGATCCTATGGCTGCTTTCGTTTTTTAGCTAACTTTGACCAAAATCTGCATTTGAAAGGGCCTCAAATTGTGAAAAGTAAAATTGTGAAAAGTAAAAGTTATAGAACTTTTATTGGCTATTATATATTTCCTGAAACTTTTTTTTCATCTGGAATAACATTGAAATTCCTAGTTCTTCATTTGAAAAATTGCCGTCAGATGTGTGCTTTTCAATGTTGGCCTTGAAAGACTGATAATTTTATTGTCTACTATTTCGACAAAGTTTACAAATAAAATTTACAATAAAACACAGAAAAAAGGTCGCTGATGCCCTCTCGAATACCTTAAAAAGTAAGGGATTTGTGATGGTTTTTGTCAACGAATTGTACATTGATTATTCATAAAAGAGCAACGAACATGACACACTCGGTGAAACGAATGGTACAGTAAGAAGAAACTTATTTAGTATGATATCGTGTTTATTCTGTGTGTATATACAACATTTGAATGCACCTAGTAATTTAACGTGTAGTTATTTCTTATTGCTTAAAGTATTGCTACGCAAAAGTTTATGTAAGAACAGATATTCAACATTGTTTTCCTCATAAAGCTTAGAAAATTGCACCATGTCTGTGCGTTTTGCGTCTAGCAGTTTTATCAAACGTTCTATACACAATCTGAAACATGCAACAACTGTATAATTGATTAGATAAACTACCATGTACATAGACAAATTGAGAGATTCCCACATTAAGTTCTAGAAAGGCATTCGAAATTGTTGTCATCCCAATTGTTGTACTGATTATCACTTCGAACGCATCAACGTCCGGATTCATTTGTATCGGGGTTATACGGGGTGACTATGGGCGTACGACATTTGCGCCGATTTAAAAAAAAAATCGATCTTTCATTTGCGCAATTTTTTTTTTCATTTGTACCGATTGTGTACAGGTAAATTTCATGTGAATGTTATTTTTTATTCATCATTCTAAACCTTTTCCGTTAGCCATATATATGTTATAAATTGTCGGTTATAACATGTATATAACTGTTGTCCCCTCCAAATAGATTGTTGTCGGTTTGATCTTGCTCAAAACATAAGGAGTAAAATCAAGTCTGTTTGGCTAAGCACAGAGTATAAATAGATCTAAGAAGATGTGGTATGAGTGCCAAAGACAAATCAAGTGACCCTGGTAAATGGCTATTGTAAAATTTTGGGCTACCATCCCTTCACCCAGATGAATCTATTCGCACCACCCTAACATATATGTCTTTATGGATGTCATCAAGAAAATCCAGACCGTTACTAATGTCAACATAAGAACTTTTGAAATGCCCACGTCTGTACGCAAACCAGAGAAAGAAAATATGGATTTCGTCAACAGTTGGCAATTACAACAAATAGAAGAGATGAAATTACAAGGAAGGAATACATCAGATGTGTAGCATATACAAATACTTGGCAAGACCAGATATATACCGGTAATTCATTGTATTCCGTTCTTAAGGATTTTAATGTTGTGCTTTTGAAACCTGTGAATAGATTTTTGAACCATGATTTGAGTGGATGTAGCAGGGTGCTTTCATCTTTGAAATTTACTTATCCTGCTCGAAATCCTAATTTTGCCGAAGTATGCATAAACGGTCAAGGCCCCCGACCCGTACTACCGTATTACATGGGATCCCAAGAAAATGAATATATTTGATTGACTAATATCAGAGACATATATACATATATGTATATATGTCTCTGCTAATATGAATGTAATAACAGTTTTCCCAGCAACCGTTGACATAACATTGATTTCTTTTTTAATATGGAGGGTCAGCTTGTGTACACCAAATAGAGATCTGTCTCTGTTCTACTTGTTTTCGTGTTCAATCTCGTTTTCTTGTGAATTATGGTGATTGTAGATTGTTGTCAGGGTGGATTTAGGCGGTTTAAGCTACTTTTACCACAAAATATTTCTCGCCACGCTTCGCTTAGCGAGATATCTACATTACACCCACTCAAGAAGAATATTTCGATAACCTCCCCCCCCCCCCCCCTCCAACATAAAAGAATCCGCCTCTGTTCTATCGTTTTGATATTTAAAATCCTGGATATTTTAAGCAAATAAAGACACATTTATGTCATGTTTGGTTTAGGTTTACATAGAAAGATAGTTTCTATGAAATAGAAACTTTTAATTATTAAAACGTTATAATTACTAGTTTTTTTGATATTACAATGTTCAAGTAGAATTTCTGTAATCAAACAAAATTATATTCAGATCAGTTTTTTCTTTTGGTTTTTTTGGTGTTTTTTTTTCTCGCCCAATTAAATAATTAAATGCTTCCCTCAATTGTTTTGATATTTATATATATGTATATATATAATTTGTTTTAGATAGGAACTAAGATTTGTTTTTACAGACGCGAACTATCAAGATCGTGGTAGGCGAGATA